GTACATTATAGACTTCTTAGGTGGCCAGAGCCGATGGATCTTGATCCACCTGGCATTTTTATTGAAACCCCTTTCATTCCACCTAATCAATGGCCTGAACCAATGGATCTTGATCCTCCTGGTATCTACGTTGCCATTGATTATGGTTTTTATCCCTTCCCCCTCCGTTTTTAACTGGCCACCACCTCTTCTTCTTCGTAACCTTGGCCGACACTTAAGTAAAGAAAATATATTTTAATTAAAAAAAAAAAAAAAAAATTTTAAAAAAAAAAAATACAAAAAAAAAAAAATTAAATTCCCCCTTTTTAATATATTTTCACTAGGGTGTTTATCTTTTGATAAGCATGACTACGATACATACATGGGTATCGTATATATTATATGAAGATGGCTGTTTTGTCTTTCCTTTTTGCAATTTTAATACTCTCCCCATTTTGGCCACTTCATCCGTATTCTCTTTTTAGTTTAGATATAGAAAAAATAAAAAAAAAAAAATAAAAAAAATTATATATAAATATATTCTTACGACTTATGTATTTCGATGATGTTTTGAGGTGAAATTTTTTTTTAATTATTTTTAATTTTATACCCCTATTATACTCGTTTGCACATTCTTATCACCTCAAATGAACCATCCATTTGATATGTGATGGTTCAAATATTTCTTTACCTGAACGAAGCTTGCCACCTCTACGCGGTGTTCAGGAGAAACGGTTATCATTTGAACTATATCCGGCTAAGCGCAAGCATTTACATTCTTTTAAATTAAATACTATTAAATAAAATCTTGTAAATTTAACGAAAAATGTTTCAATAAAAACTTTTTTTTAACTCTCGAAAAAACGTATCTTCAAAAATAATTTTCAATGCACTATTTGAATAAAACAAAAATTTGGAATGCATCGTTTAATTACGTGATGAATAATAATTTAGGTGTTCAGAACTTTAAGGTCGAACCGTAATTACACACACTTACGACCATTTTTTTTTATGAAAATTATTTTTCGATTTTTTTTTCTTGATCGTGACTTTGAGCATCACAATAACTTTTGGACCGATAGTGAAATTGCGACTTTAAATTGATTAGCATGTTATGTTTTAGTGAAGTGGCAAACGAAGTTGTTAAAATTGGACGTTTTAAGACAATTTGTTATTTTCTTAAGAATTTTTAATATAAAATGGTTTGCACTCATTTATCAAGGTGGTTTCTAATTTGGTACTGAATCAATTACAGTATCTTCCCTACCTTCCAGTGCATTCAATTGGTCTACAATTAAATATAACGATCCGAATAATTTACACTAGCATCTCGCCTATTTTTCGATCTATAAGTGATTATACCAATTAGTGACAATCGGAAGATATAGCAAACGATTCTTTGCGAAGAAGCAAACATGGATTGCTGCAAGAATAAACCACTTACCATAACCGTTAGTTCCATGCAATCTTAGATATTACGGAAATTATTTTCTGCCCATATTCCATCATTAATTCCGAACCTCTCTACCAAACTCTTTTGACCAGGAAATAGAAACGGTAATTAAAGGATATCTTTTGGATTTTAGTACATTACAGTATCCTCCGAAAGTATCTTTACATCGATCATGATATTTTGAGCATCGTTTCCGGAACTAATAAGAAATTATCAATAGATTACAAGAAATTTATAAATGCACTTTTTTTTTTGTATCATCTTTACTCGCCTGAACCTTCATATTTTATTTTTTCTGTAATGAGAACTTTGTGAACGCAGAAAAAATTGACACACCTTAAAAAAAAGGAATCGTTACTCAATTATTTTGCCTTGATATTCATCTAAATGTTGAATACCAAAAAAGGCAACGTTAGTTAATGTCGCAACAACATTATTTTTATAAATCATCTTTAGAAAGTCAGACGTAAAGACCGGTATCAAGTACACTTCTTACCGCATGATCGATTTCAACAGGCTCTTTAAAGAAGTAAGAGAGTAGGATGGTTGTAGTGTTCACATTGCTTTAAAATTTACAGAGGATGTCTATATTACTTTAACGACTAGTATGATTTTTGAATTATCAATAATTACAATAATTATCAATGTAGAAAATGCAAAAAATATTCGTTTACTATTGATTATACAAATTTTGTAAGTAGAAATAATATTATAAATGAATTTATATTTCATAACATTAGTTGTCAAATTGCTAACTTTTCTAATTATCGTGAGCTTTTTAAATATTTATAAGCTTAACAAAAATAGCAGAATAAATTATAAATCAAAATACATTTGGTCACAATATAAATGAATCAAAATTCTCAAAATATCAAAAAGGTTTTTAACGAGGTAATTATTTGTTAAATTTATTTACATTATAGTTAAATCAATGCAGAATGTGGTTAATTTGTGTAATAATTTTAAAAAATTAATTTCACGATAAATAAATCATCTACTTTCTCGGGTGTATTTATATGTTAATATGTATTTTTAATGCTTTTATATTATTTTAAAGTGAAAATCTCGTAAAACAAATAATGAAAAGAAATAATGTTACATTGCATCTGAATATTTGATGATACTAAATTTTCAAAATTTCCGATATTTATAGTTTGGGTATGATCATGTGTTGCAATAAATTTGACATAATATTAACTTTATTTTATGAAATCATTTGATTTATAAAGAAAATTATCCAAATAGCATACCTAAAAGAATAAATTATTACATTAATATTTTATTTTTTAATAAGATTTTAAAACTTTTCGTAAAATTCATAATGGTTTTATACTAAAAAATTTTGAGAAATCCTTATTATAATTTTAATTATTAATCTTCATTACATAACCAATTATATAAAATTTTTAATAACTATATATTTCAAAACCAGTGAAAGAAGTATACTTAGAAACAAATATGATGTTCAGATCAAAAATCGGAAAGGTGAACAAAAAAAAATTTAATGATTTTCATGACTTCGTGATCTAATAAATCGACCTAGTGGCCATGGTGTCCAGTGACCTAAGATCATGTTATCTGATGATACAGGTCATTTCGAAAAGGTGAAGTGATCATGTTCCAACACTGTTAAGAACAGAAATCTCAAGTAGAACAAAAGAGTAAAAGCTACTTTGATTTTGATTTCAGTGTAAGTACAGACCATGAAAGTAGTGACTTATCAATCCTTATTTTCTTGAATTTGAGGTTAGATGTGTCAGAAAAGTTACCACAAGATAACTGGTTTGTAGTAGCTAAGCGTTCATAGCGATGGTGCTTTTTGATTCTTCGATATCAGCTATTCCTATCATACTGATGCATAGGCTGGATTGTTCACCCACTAACAGGGAAGTTTAGACCGTCATGAGGCAGATTAGTTTTACCCTACTGATGAGTGTTACATAGTAATTCAACCTAGTACAAGAGGAACTACTGATTCAGATATTTGGTACTGCGTCTACCCGATAATGTAAACTAACATCCGCTGGATTATGACTAAACGTCTATTAAGCCATAAGCCACACTATAACGTGACGACAATTGCTTTTTTACCCAATATTAAGTTAAATAAAATAAAGACTTTTGGGCTTCAAGATCATCTCATCGGATTTGGATGTTGAGACAGAATAGTTTTAGCATCTTGCCCTTGGATAGTTATATTAAAATATTGGGTTCAATAAATCTTTTGCAGATGAATTATAAGAACGGAAGGTATTATATGCAATAGGATATCATTACGTTATGATCTGTGATAACCCTTCAATTTTTTAATGTGGTGGAATCATGTGGTAGAATCAAATGTGGTAGTGGGTGAATAATTAATTAAAATAACCTGTTAATTAACTGGTTAAAATTAACTTATGCTAGTACTATAAATTTGGCTGGAGTTAGAAAATATTTTTGCAATCATAAAAATCTTAATTCTTGCTGGCCATTTCGTGACAATTTTTGAAGGATACGCAGGGGAAGTTTCAATTTTTCTGTCAAACTGTACCTCTATCAGCATAATAGATATGATTATTATAATAAATTATTCGTGTTAATTTGAAAATCTTCTTGTGTGTTAATCTGTTAAATATTTTTGTTTCTTTTTTTTGCGAAGCAACAATTTTCTCACTTTGACTAAACAAAAAGTAATCTTTGAGTTCCTTAAATTACATTTTTATATTATCAAGAAAATATTCTATTTTGTCAACTTTAAAATTAAAGTTTTAAAAGTTACAACAACGTTCACAACGTAACGATGATAAACTTACATAGGTAAAGATTTTTAGAATATGTTCTATATAAAAGAATATCCTCTAAATCAAAAAACCGAGTTACGGGTAAATCTTTATTTAAAATAAAAATCTATTAAATGATATCAATTATTATATAGAATTTCTGGTTATATAGGTGCTGTTATAAAGTTTTTTATCGTTAACATAGAATTATTAATATAGAGCTTTTTATTGTTATTGGAGACTTTTTTTTAATGATAATATAGAGAGTTTTTTTATTGATTTTTAATGTTATTGTAAAAAGTTTTCCTATCTTATTTAACGTTGATATGTATAGATTTTTCTTTTTTTATGTTAATATAGAGTTTATATAGTTTTATCCGTTTTATTTCACTGTCATTATATATTATATGAAGTTTTATGAAACATTTATTTTATTTATTTTTAATAGATCTTTTCATGAGATTCCCTACCAGTAGAAGTTTTAAAACAGGTCTCTTCCCCAAATTAAACATATATGATCCAAAATTTCAATGGTATGCCACCATATCAAACACAAGAAAATTTTGAAGTTTCAAATTTTGAGTTGATCGCATTTGTAGATGTAAATAATGAATCAGCAGCATCTGAATGGATTACAAATTTCAATCACATTCAATAACGACAATATCACAAACAAAAGGTTATTATATCAAAGAAAATCGAGTTATATTTCAGGAGAACCGTCATTGCATTCATAACCATATGGTTAAGAAAAAATAGGGCAAGAAAATTGATGTGAAACGTCCACAATCATCCTAGGCACACTATATCAATTGTACTGCAAGCATTCATATTAGACTGAAACGTCGACGACTAAACCATCCACTAGGAATAAACATAATATCACGCACAATCATGTTATTAATTTGCTGAATCACTAAGTTTTAGACGGGTAAATGAAGTTTGAGAGGAATTAATAAATCTTTTTAAAATGGACATTCCGCTTCTGTATTTCATGTTTATGAAGATATGGTACATCTTAATGCTGAGAATTAATGGAAAGTCTTGCACATAACCCTGGTTATGATTATGTTACACATCTTTTTTGACAATATAGAAAGAAGCACTTGGAAGTTGTAATGGTAGTGAACAAGTTGGACTAATTGTATTTTTAACAAATAATTCAGCAGCAGAATGGAATGCTTTGTAACTTTATTGGCTAAAAGGTAATTTGATTTTAATTTATTATAAAATTATAAAAAATTCAAATTATTAATTACTAATTTTAAACTGAAAACATTACAGGAATAAGTTTTCAGTATACATTCCATTTTCTGCAAGCTTTCTGATCGTAACTTCATGATGCAAAACATAATACTAATAAAGAAGATCACGTACCTATCATAGAAAAAATTAAGAAAATCATCAAATTCAGAAATAAATTCTCATTATGAAGAGTTTAAAACAGAAATTTATAGAAATTTGAGCTACAAAATCACTTTGAATTTTTATGAAAATGTTGACAATTTGGACTTTATCCTTCCATCTTGGATTACTGATGCATGCAATAATACAAATAATTATGTTAAATAAAGTTTTGGCATATTGAAAGATATTATTTTTGCTTAGGATACAATACAAGTGTTTTAAAATCATGAATATGAAAAGGTTTATGAGAGAAATTTGCTTGGAATAGCATATAAACACCCAGAAACTTTATGCATTGCAAAACGATTTCTATGTTCTGGTTGAAAAACAGTAAAAGTAAGCTTAATTCAAAACTAGCGTAAATAATGAATTTTTAATATTAAATACAAAAAACTACCAGATTTTATATCATAAATAGTGAAATTGATATATATTCTTGTATTATTGGAAATGATGCTCCTAGTAAATATCAAAAGGCAGTTTCAATAAAATTTCATATTTTGATGCTTAATTTTCTTCTATCATTAATACCAGATGATCACATAATTTATGCTTATATAGCACTTGGTAAATAAATATATTAACACTTTTATTGTCAAATTTCAGTAAGATTAAAATTTCAAAAAACTAATAAATATATATTTATTTTTTTAGGATATATTGTGAAAAATAAGTTTTTCTATGCATCATTACGTGTACAACTTGCTTCATATCAAATGTCAAATATTAAAATGAGAACATTAGATAATAAATGTAAATTTTCATTTTATTGATTTATTCACAAGAATTGAATTATTTATAATTTTTTTAGAGAACTAAATGAAAAAAATGAAGAAATTGAAAAAATTGATAATTCTGAGATTAATTCTTTCTTTAAAGAAGTAATTTGAATTATCAAAATTCACATTAAATCTTACAAATTGCATTGGATAAGTTTAATTATTATTATAGTATAGCAGAATCAAAATTGATACCTTGTTTATCATCATTTCTTTATGATCTCAATTATAATCTGGATCTGATAGTTGCTATTAGAAGTAGTATATATATACAGGTTCAACCAAAATCAATCAAATGATAGAAAGTAGTATTAAGTAAAAATCACTCAATACTAAATTATAGAAAAGATAATTCAGATCTCTATGTTATTTCTTATCAAAAAAGAGAAAAATGGATAAAATAGAATATAATTTAAATTAGAATATATTGAATAATTGATCAAATTAAAGGAAGTTATTTATTAAAAATATCATTATTTTAACATTGCATTCATATTATTTACACAACTTTATATTATAGATATTTAAAATTTAAAGCTGTAAATGATACTTCGTTTACAATTCAAATTTATAAAGAATTTTCTTAATATTTTATTTTACATTTTATACATTTAACATGTTTTAAACATTGTAAATATTATTTATAGACAAAAAATAAATAAATTTAATAAAAAAATCAGTTTAATCACAATTGGTTAGGCTACATACTCTAGATAATATAATTAGCATAACCTGGCATAGATTTCAGATGTTGTTAATATAAATCATATTAAAATATTATCATTTAAGTTTTTTTATAAACTAATGTAGTTATTTGAATAAGGTATATGACTTATAAAGTGAAAAAAAAATTTAAAATTTCGGATAACAAAGTAAAGCTTATATGTAATAATTTAATTCATTTTATTTATGAATAATTTGACTATTATTAACTTTTACAATTCTTATATTTCTTACCAAATTTTTTTTATTTTTTTATTTTAAATGATAAGCATTTATAATTTTAATAATTATTTCAAAAAGATATCCTTTGATAATGCAAACTTAATCTCTTTTATGTATCTCTAATAGTTTATGATCAATATCTATCATGTCAAAATAAAAAAGATGAGAAAATTTTTCATTATTAAATTCTAAATTGTTAAAAGAAAATTCTAAAATAATGCTTTGCTTTCCTTCATCTAATCATAATTTTCATTCATAAGATATATTTCTAATAGTTTTTTTAGACATAAAAACATAAAATTTGACAAAGTTGTTAAATCTCTTATATTTGTAGTTAAGAAAAACTATTTATAAAAATAAAAATGCTAATTTCTTTCAGATATATTTAGTATATTATAAAAAAAAAATAATAATTTTTTGGAGGATAATCAACCTGAATAAGAATTATATAGAAATCATATAATTAAAATATTTATTAACTTCAAATGAAAATAAATTGATTTTATGAATGCAATGAAAAAAATTTTGTGATATATAAATAATTTTTTATTAAAAAAATTGTATAATTTACAATATTAAGAATAAATGCTTACACTTAGCCAGATATAAATAAACTTATAACTGTTTCTTCTGAATACTATGTAAAGGTAGCAAGTTTTATTCAGGTTAATAAAATTTTTGAGGTGAAAAAAAAGAAAATGTATACAAATATAATAGGATCATGAAAAATAGGTTTAAAAAATTTCATCTTAAAATATCATCAAATACATTAAACAGAATTAAAAAAAAAATAATATATAAAATTCTAAATTACAAAATATGAATAAAGTAGACAAATGGAGATTATTTTAAATGCAAAAGGAATGATAAAAGCAGTTAACTTCATATAATAGATATAATACATCAAGTATCAT